TGGGAGACCATATCTTGCTTTCCAGATCTTTGCTCATTTACCATTTAAGTCTGCCTTTGAATTCTGCAGGACTACAGAGTTGTGTTGTATCCTAAATGACAAAAAGTTTTTGTCACGTTATAATTACTTATTTGGAAGATTTGTTCAAGGGAATAACAGAGCTTTTATAGCTTTGCCTACTCAACATAATTTGTGATCAGGCTTCTACCACGTTTCTGAAAAGAGAAGCTGGGGTAAACGATAATCCCCTCCTAGAAATGTTGTGTTCTGGAGAAAAATAAAGAACTGTTCTTGCTAGAAGAAAATAAATGGCAAACGTTTCTTATAAGAAAAAAAATTATTCTATATTGTTTACTGGGTATATTTGTCCTGATTGTTGATTAGTGGCAAAATAAAAGTTATTGTTACAAATGGGTGGGTGAATTTCAGGAATTGACCACGCGGTTTAGTCAATGAGTAAATTAATTATTCATAACCCCCATCTTGTAAATTATTTCTCCAGAATATACCTGAGTGGTTGCTATGATTAGGGGAACGTGAATTATTTACTCTCTGGCACAGCTTTAGTGAGAATGGTAATAAAGCAGGCTCACTTGGTTAAACAAATATTTATTAATGATGACAAGACACGAACTACACTACACTATACACGAACTACATTATACGCAACAAAACATACAACACACTATATGTACAGTATTTACAAAGAACTAACATTCTAATCACCCAGAAAAATCCCAGACTTTTACTAAGCATGAAACTCATAATGCCTACAGAGGTCAAACTAGAGATACTGTAAGCTGACTTCTTAAGGAATATTGTACAACCTGCAGTTAAATCTCTCACTCTGCACCCCAGATGCCACAAAATAAATGGGAGCCTATATTTCTATCCATAAAAATGAACCCTTAGCAGGAAGGACGTTTCTAACCAAGGTATCTTTTACCCAGGAAACCCAAGTTCCCTAAAAACAAAGAATAGCACGCTCTCTCTAGCGAGATTCAGAAACTTGACTCAGTTTAGTCAGGTTTTGTTTGGATGATCATGATGTAGGAGCTCTCTCCTGGTGCAAGCTTCAAGTTCTGATTCTTCCAGACTCTTGTCTCTCCTCTTCTTGTTTTTCCCCTCCCCTTGTCTTGTCCCTCTGTGCTCTTAATGTGATCTTACATGTATATTGTGTGTTTCTGTACTGCTTATTGACAATCGTTAACCCACAACGTACCTAGGTATACCAATGTAATCTTTACAATGGTTTCTGATCAAGTGACCCCCGCAAACTCTGATCAAGGGACTTCTCAACAAACACCCACTCTGCTTTGAAACTAGAAGTGTTTTCTCTGCCAAGTGTCACAAACGTTATAAAAAATCTAAGACACACTTCTCTTAGATTAGAGGCACCTAAACAGGCATAGAAGAGGCACCTAAAGCTGTAACATCATATTATTCCAATTAATAATTAATCCTACTAATAATTAATATTTATACGGACAAAATATTTGTGGTAAAGGTGCACAGTTTGTTTACATATTAAAATCTCATAATTAGTCTTCAATTTGTTTGGTTAAAAAGTCACAAATGAAGCTATGAATTTAATTGATTTAAAACATTTTTTAAGTAAAAATCTAGATGATTCTATTTACTTCTTATTTATTATTTATTGCTTCTTATTAAGTTTTTATGTCGCAGAAACAGCAATTTGCATGTTATCATATCTTTTTAGGTATTTTAGGTAATAAAAATATCTAGGAATTTGTCTAACAGGGTGATGCTTTTGAACAAATGGACCAAGGCACATTGCACATATGAGATATGATGCAAAAACTACTGTATAGGAAGTTTATAGTAACAATATATAGAGAAGTGTTATTTTAAATGCTGATGATTGGGTATTATTTTTAGCACTTTGACAGAGATATGTGTTTTTCCTGCACGTAGTCTTAAACGAAGGAAGTAACAGATGAGAAGTGCATGAAAACTCAGCTGCTGTTCAGAATGGCTGCAAGAATGAGTACGATTATAATGTGTCTCATCACACTACTTTGCAAGACAACTACAGGTGTGTAACAAAAAATGGGGAGGTTAACAATTGATGTAAATTGAAACCAATGCAATTCATGGCGAAAGATGATTTTTATATTCTTTCTATTTTAGGAGCTAAAGAAGAAGCTGAAAATAACGAATTGATGTATGGTGAGTTAAACTATTCTGCAATGAGAAAACAGTCAAGTGTAACTAAAGCATACATGTTTGTGACTGTCCCACATAAAGAAATAGTCTTTTTAAAGTTTAGATGTACACAAAGGTTTGAAGTACCACATTCATGCCATAAACAAAGCTCAAATGCTATGTTTTTCTCTGAAACATGCAGTTTAAATATATATACCAAAACCATAACACCCTGGCAAAAAATATTCATGTAATCCTTAAAGCAAAATGGTTTATAGGATTACACCAACAAAATGTGAAGTTTGTTTTACTAAAAAAGAATGTAGTTTGATAAATAACTTCAATACAGATGCACAGAAATGTTTAACAGTGTTTCTAGAAATATTGTTAAAACGTTTTTGAGAGACAATATATTACAGTACAGTGGCATTGCAGTGAGTCCCCTGTAAGCACAACTTTTCTGAATGGCAGAAAATAGATTGTTACTGTTCCTACACTTAAAAAAGCTCCTAATATGAAGTAATGTAATACTCAAAGTGTGGTGCTTGTGTGTTTTGATAGCACGATTTAAAAAAA